CCTGATCTCCTATCAGTCTTTATCTTTCGTCAAATTAGACAAAGGCACTATTTTTTAGTTTTCATGCAATATTATAAACAACACAACACAAGACGTAAACTTGTATGGTTAAAGGGTATCGCACTCCGCGGGAGAGCACGACACTATTACTAACGAACGCGACGTTATTTTCATACCCGTCTAATTGTACTTGCTTATCTGTGTAATATTAATCGTAGCATATGTTTTTATTGCGTTCAATTGTGGTATAAATGCGTCACATAATTGTACACAACTGCAAGATAGGCGTTAAAGTTTTGTTGCCTGATGATTCAGTATTTTCAGCCAATGTTTTTGATGCGTTAACTGGTGTATAGGTAAAGTAATTTTCATCATCATTGTTTATAATATTGTTATCACAAGCTATGTCCGCCTTTATAATCTTTTGTCTAAAAACAAAAACATGAAAGTCAGAATTATATTGTCAAATTATTCGACGCGGAAAGTTTTAAAGGAAATACATAGTAGTAGGTACTTACAGAAATATACTTAAGGCAAATTGTACTTAGGACTGATGCAAATTTAAGTACAGTCGACAGCACATAAGACTAACATTTTTGTTTCAAAATAGCACCAATTACAACGACCTAAGATGCCGCAGTTTACTTTGATGTGTTGGTAACTGTACTTACCAGAGAGCATTGACGCGCTTACCAAAAAAAAACATAAAACAAAACATTGAAAGGTTAATGACTATACCGCCATTACCGGGAGGTCCCGGAGGTCGCAAGGCGCTGAGACTGCTGGGAGGGGGCCACCGTCTCGGCGCTGGTTTATTTCGCGCAATCATTCAATAAACTTGATGGTAATCGACAAGACCCTCAGTTGCCTCATCAGAGAAATGGGATCAATTTCTATGTAGTACGTTTGTGGTACTCGCACTCCCCAATGCTTCACAAGTACACAGTATCGTCTCGCTGAAACCACCAGCTAATGAAATGATCTTAGTTTCTTGAGACATTCCTTATAAAAAAGTTCGTTTCGTATAGTTTTGATTCTTTGATAGGTACTTTTACTGACTGTTAAAGATATGAGACCAACTCGTATTTGATTCCGTAGGATTGTGAAAATACCTTGAATGTGAGGTTCTGGCTACAATTCCCGACAGGATCAACTTAAACAACGATGCCGAGAGAGACTTGCTCGGCAAAAAAATCCGTTAGTCTGAAGTTCTGTACCTCGTAACACCAGGATGTACTTCCTTACTTCGATACCGATATTTATGAATATCTGAATAATTAACGAATTTCTTATTTTTGTTGGTAACTGTAATCATGCTTTTAATATAAAACTTGTAGATTTATTTTTCATGTTTTAAAAACACTGACAATCCATTCGAGGAGCAATTTATAAATCGTTAAAAGTTCATTTAAATATAGAACGCATTTGATTAGAACCAATTAAACGACAATTAAGCTGTTCTCTTGTTTGAGTCGCCAGCCGGCCGTCCATGAGTCGCGGCCGTTGTTTCAATCGAGTGGAGCGAGTGCCATAATAGCTTGAATTCATGATCGTTATTGCTTTGTTCTACTTTGATGATTGATGTAAATTCATCATCGGTCATCATCACCCAACTAAACCCTATAACCATTATTTTATTATGAAATATTGCCACACATATTTCATTATTAACGGTAGCTAGAAGCAATTTATTATGGTTTTGAAACTGTGTTTCAGCTCAACCTGGTTCTGTATTGGTGATGAGGCTGTCATTCAAATTGAATTTCAAAAGCGACCGTTAACTTATGATGCTGCTGAAAACTCTTAACCTACATCTTCTTTCTTTGTTATAACGATGCCATTGCCCTCTGAGGTTATCTGAAGTATATTTTTAGCGAATCCTCGAGTTCAGATAACAACAGCGGGCAAAGGTGTAAATTCGTACAGATTGACTACGTAAATAAGCAAGATGTCATGTTGTTCGCGGAGGTCGATACACTGTTACACTCCCATGAATCGTTGAATATTTGGAACTATCAACATTGTTCACGGCACACTTGAAACAATTTAAAGTGCGGCTCATTACTGTAACGATGGCCATTGTGCATCCGTGTTTGCACCTCCACATTCTGAACGTTTCACAAAGGTTCCACATATGTTATCGTTGCCGTGGAGTCGTTGCCCTCGCCGCTCATATAAACCTCTGAATAGCTCGCTAATGTTTACTCTTTCAATATTTTACGGCTGTCATTTGGGATGCTTATGTCATACTTTCAAAGTTAAAATTCATCATTTCAATGTTTATGCGTACATTGTGATTTGAACGTAGGTATGATGGAAATTGCGGATGTGTCACCGTGTGAAACATGTCCTTCCATTTTGAATTCTCTTACGTCCTCTATATTTTGTTTTTTTTTTGTTGTTGCTAATAGTTTTTGTGTGGGTGTATTGTATAATTTAACCGTACGCCTTTGACGTGTGCCAGTCCAAGATTCACTTAATACACGAGCTATTATTGAAGTGTTGCACTTTGTAGCAGTCAAACAACGTGCGGCCCCAAAGGCTTCACAGTCGCCTCGGCCATATAATTGACAGCGCAAACGAATTGGCTCGAGCTTCGTGTTTGTCGCGTTGACAACGCCAGCCGCTAACCAAAACGGCACACAACTTCACTCGAGGTGTGACCTGTGCCCGACTCTTAGGAAATTTTCGTTACACCATCCTTTACCCAAAATTATATTTACCAAACAAACACCCGTTACTGTTATGGATTAGTTTGTTACCCTGTAAAATGTAAACTGTTGACGTTGGGCTAATGGCTAAACGTATGTTATTATAATAAACAGCCCGCATCGTGGTCTGCAAGGCGCTGCGTCTGATTGCCCTCAGTTTCAAACGCAACGACCGCGGCCATTTGAAATCGACAGTGATTACAATTTTCCCTGGAGCTCGGTTGCGCGGGCGCAACGTCCGATGGAAAGCAGCGTTTAACCAATGTTCCGCTCTGATAACTCTCTAATTACGCGTCGGCCGTTTTCCTTCGACACTTGGTGACCACCGGCTTAACCCCTGGCTTTTCACTGGTACATTTCACCCGAGATTGCACTGCCACTCTCATTCGTTTGCTACACTTTCGCCTTTGACAGGCTTCCACTCCAAGCAGCATTGTTCCAAGAGGCACAGATATATTGGGCACTATTAATTATCTGATCCTCTTTCTCTGACACCTCATTTTGGACTGTGACCAAATCGCTTAAGCGCATGCATTGGGATCATCGTAAATTATTTTATTTTAAATAAAGCATGTGTAGAAAATGTTCGTTCTCTTTATCTTAAACAGTGCTCTGGTAGTAAATCACGACATGTTGTCTGAGTCTCGTTTAGTCACGTAAATGATGTTAACCCGTACAAGCGCGGGAGGAACAATCTCCGCCGAAGGACAAGTGGCAGAAGCAACCTTTACCGCCGCCGGTTATTGCCCACGCACGGAACAATAGCTACTCATAGCACCACTAAAAGCATTCGTGTGTAATTGTTTACCTACCGTTTACTGTAAACCACAAGACTAACGTACACTCAATACCTACCGAATGCATGACCAGAACAATCAATAAGTACTGCAATTGTTTACTATTTTAAAAGGATAGTAAGTAGTTGTTATAATAAAGGGTAATTAAGTCTTTTGTCGTATCATCATGTTAGCTAGACAAATAACTTCGAATTAATTTGTACGCTGTATTCCAAAACACAAGTGTTTGCGTGTTTACGATCTCCGGACGAGACGGAGGCGAATAGAATATACAATGACGTGTCATTCACATCGATTGAGGCCGCATACAAGATGCGGTGTATCATACATTATGTATAGAGCTCGTGTTCCGCCTCGAGCTCCAATCCGATCCGACCTTCATGGTGCTCTCGTCACCCCGCCGATATTTCTAAATAATATATATTTTTTTGCATATGAAACTGCCTCACATTCATGAATAATCATTCACGTCGCCCAAGATGTCCTCATATTTTAGTCATTGATAGCACCATAGCACGCTGAAGTTAGATTATGTAATGCTCATGCACAGCACGACTTGCAGGTGTGTACGAGTCAAACAGATCATGAATAGATCACGATAGGAGTACTGTTACCTATTACGATACACGACCGTTGCCCCTCGCATGACAGCGTCGTCGAATGGACCGGCGACAATTATGCCCCGCGCGGCGACGAGCGACGTTCGAACAATAGTATACAATCGCCGCGATTGTGCTCGCCGCGGCTCGTGTCAACTGCCTCTCGCGTGAACACCAGCATTGTTATGGTGATACGCCGCAGCCCGCCAGGTTCGACGCTCCGTGAAAACAAAAGACGCCACAACGTGCCACGGCCAATTGCGTCTCCATGAAAACACACTAGAACCAATCCCTTCACACTCGCATAATATCGATGGTGGGACCTATCCCGAATTTTACATAATAAATAATTCATAATGGTACACCGGACGAAGTTTGGTCGTTATAAAAGTACCCATTAAAATTCTACTCACCCCAGGGCTCTAAAGTACCACTTTGAGATTCGGTTAATTGGAAATATTAACCATTTTAACATGGAGTCCATTAGTGAAAACGAGATGTGCCAGAGCAGGTAGACGATGAAATCAGCCTCCCTTCAGGGGTACATTTTTTGTTCGCCTGGCAGGTACCGGGCTTTCGAGCAGATTTTACATTTTTCTATAACAAAAACACGATTTGTGAAACTAAGATAAGCGTGTAGAAACCTTTTTGGAATAAGGTCCAAAATGAGTAGTTTTTGTAGGACACAAAAAAAGATAGGCACATCTTTGTGTTTACATAATAATAGTATGCTAAGAGCCAAAGAAAACTTTTCGTACGTAATTGCTTTACGTTTAGTTTACTCAAAAACCATAGATTTTTATACGTTATTTATTATTGCACTAGTTTTTGTGTTATTTTTTTTGACTATTTTTGTTTTCTTTTACTAAATCTTTCTTTTCCTTCTATTCCAGAATCAAACTCGTCCAGTGCAGACGATGAACAGCGCCCTCGCGCCCGTGAGCGGCAGCACCGTGGTGGGCGGCGCGGGCTGGGAGCAGCACCCGGCGCTGGCGCGCGCCGCGTCCGTGCCCGCGCACCGCGCGCTGGCCGGCCTGCTGGACCGCCTGGGCCACCGCCGCCTCGAGCGCACCGCCAGCGAGCCCGCGCCGCCGCCGCCCGCCACCAGCCGCTACAAGACCGAGCTCTGCCGCCCCTTCGAGGAGGCCGGCGTCTGCAAGTACGGCGACAAGTGCCAGTTCGCCCACGGCATCCGCGAGCTGCGCAACCTCCAGCGCCACCCCAAGTACAAAACGGAGCTGTGCCGCACCTTCCACTCCGTCGGCTTCTGCCCCTACGGCCCGCGCTGCCACTTCGTGCACAACGCCGAGGAGGCGCGGCGCCGCGAGCCCCCGTCGCCCGGCGGCTCGGTGGCCTCGCTGTCCTCGGGCGTGTCGCTGGGCTCGTACATGAGCGACGGCTCCCGCTCGCCGCGCTCGCCGCACTCGCCGCTCACGCCGCAGTCGCCGCTGACGCCGCACTCGCCGCCCGCGCTGTCGCCGCCCGCCGGCGCCACCGCCTTCGCGTTCCGCCGCACGCAGTCGCCCGACCCCGAAGAGGAGCGGCTGCCGGTGTTCAACCGCCTCTCGTCCGCGTTCGGCGACCTCATCATCGCCTAGGGCGTTGCGATCGCCTAGTCTTAAGTTAAATTATACCGATCATAGCGTAAGGACCGTCTGTCACCGCAGTGCCTATTCGACGTCTTCCAGACCGCGCCCGAGCGCCGTCCCGCTCCGCGCATCCGCACACTCGCTCAACGAATGATCTCCAGTTTGTCGATTCTTCTCATTACTTCGCCCTGTAATTTATAAAGTTAAAGAAGTTTACTGGCGTCTCGAAAGTTTGCGGTGTGAATATAGTGATTACGTACATCTTTAGTTATCGGCACGCACTTGTAAATGGCACCTTATATTGTTAGATATTTATTGCGTAGCTCGCGGAAGTCTTCCCGATGCGATCCTCCGCCGAGCGGTGGTCTCTGTAAAGTTAGCTTATAGAACATTTATTTATTTTGTACTGCCTATCCGCGCTCGGTACCGTACCGCGAGAAGGCGCTCGTGATCTATTTTTAAGGGTTTAAGATAATAATTTATTATTTATTTCGAGTCTCTTTAACTGTAATAATTATTTTTACGTACTAGCAGCTGCGATGCCGCACCGCATACGGACGGGGCCCGCGTCACCGGGACGTGGCTCTGGCAACAAGGATCGATCGATCTCGCTCCCAGATTCAATGCATTACCCCGACCAGCTCGTCCAGTGGGAAGTGATCAATCGATTTACTCGTACATCTCGGGAGTTCGCTGGGCCGAGCGCCGCGCCGTTCTCGGGCGGCGGCGTGCTCACCCGTGGCCGACACCGCTAGCGATCTCAATCACCCGCGGCCCATTTGAGAACGGCGATGTAATCCTGCGGCGCGCCGCTAGCGGCTCGTCTGCGCAGGATTTTTTCGTTTTGCGTCGTGCGAGGAGGGCGGGCAGCGAGCTGAAACCTGTTTGGGTTTTGGTGATTGTTTTTTTCGTCCTCGAAGCGCACTCTCGAGTCCCTCTCGCTCCGATGCCCGACGAGATTGCGTTCGGGCGCTCGCAAAAAATGACAGAAACCTGAGAAAACGCCCGCCGAACTCCCGAGATTTCGTGCCGATGAATTTTTATAGAGATATAACTTGAATACGGTAACATGAAGCATGTTTATATTAGGTGCGGGCCGACGGACTTACCCCGCGCGCTTCCCCCGTCGCGCCCGCATCCCTCACAAAGAGTGCCTTTTACTTTATAACAAAATAAATCGATTATAATATTTAATTTTTAGTTGATCGAGATAGATTGATTGTTTATTTATTGTCTCTTTTGAATATAAAATTCAAATTGGCACAGTTATTACTTTTGTACTTTGACAGAACTAAGTGATTAGTTTGGACGTAGAATAGTTTCTTCTTTGAATAAAGTGTGATATTTTATAATATTTATATTACAAAGTTTAAAGTTTTAATTAAGGGACCAATATAAGTGATTCGATTAGGAGAAATTCTGATAGAAACCAGACAGATAAGTAGATACGCTTTCGATTCTTACCAAGAGACTGTATCCTCGCGCCACACATACATACATATATTTTGTTATACTGTTTGTAACCAGATGTACTGTACGATTTTGTATTGTATCCATCCAATAAAATAGCATTTGACCACTAGTGGTTTTGTGTTTGTTATTGACAGCTCATAGAACCGAGACGGTGTTTTTTGTTTTGTTTTACTATTTTAGTTTCAGTTTTTCTCCGTGTCTAAAGAGAGACGTATCGTGACCACGAAGGATAATAATTTTGTACCTAATGTTAAGGATCCTAGTTGTAAGCGTTTTCATAAAGTTCGCGAATATTATTTATTATCAGTTCATTACGAATTATAAACCATTAAAGTTGATTTATTTAATTTCTTTTGTATTTAAACGTCATTTAAGTACGAATATTGTAGCTTAATGTTAGTAATATATCATCAGTCATTTAATGTAACAAGCATTAGTTTAAAACTCTAGTACCTATGTCAGTTGTAATTAAGTATTTAATTTTTTAATTTAATTCCAATTATAAGTTAATCTTCCAAAAATTGACTACGTATTCTATTTCTTATGGACAAAAACAAATTAAGGCTAAAGCTTGTTTATGACATTTTTTTTCTTGTAAGTTTTCCTTATTTCCATCTGCATTTTTATTGAATTATAGTCAAAATATGTTATTTTTGCTTTTTATTTTTGTTTTCTTTCCCTTATTTACATTACATGTTGAAACAGGCATAGAGTTTAATTATGTACAAAACACGAACTGGTTTAAATAGTTAATTTTGTCTATTTTCATAAAATCTTAAGTTTGCATAGCTTAGATTCAGTATAAACCAACACAAAAGTATTGTACGCACACAGTAGTTTTCAAAATATTAAATAGATGCGTTTATCATTACAATACCAAACTAGATAATTGACAACTTTGCATGATGTAAAGTGAGAGAAATGTGTAAAATGTCATTTGATAAACCTATTCAGAATTTCAATCACACACACACACAAATAAGTGACAGGATATAAAAAAACAACTTAACGATTTAAAAATATACTTTTTGCGTTAATATTTTAACTGTTACTAACATGACATGACACATTTCAATTATTTGGCTATTACTAAAATAGTGTTGAATCCAGTCCAGTTTATTTCATTTAGTTAAGTAGGTAGAAAACAAATATTTTTTGAGTAAATAACTAGTAACTAGTTTTATATATTTTATTCTAGCCTTTGTCTGTTACCAATTAAAGGCTTCATTCATAATAATATCTATCTACGAGTACTAAATTAGCACATGATATTGAATTCTGATATAACTTTTATTGCTGCGGTAACTAATAATACCCAAGAATAAAAACGAATGCAGAACTGTCCCTACATCAACAGTGCCGTAACTAGCCTTTTATGCGCCCGGTGCGAGAAATATAAAAAAAATGTAACCTTTTTGAATAAAAAGTAACCTTCTACGGGGGGGGGGGGGGTGCAGAGCGTGCATGAAACAAAACTAGATACTGGTCTGGTCATTTCTGCGCCCCTCCAGGGTCTGCGCCCTGTGCCTGGGCACCGCTGGCACCGCCCTAGTTACGGCACTGTACATCAATAACGATGTCCACGCCACGAGTGTACCAAAAACAACCAATAAACTGAAAGGTAAGGTGTAAGTACTTAGGTATCTTGTATTTAATATCTTAGATAATGCTGAGTCTCTAGTGGAATTCTAATGCTCCTAGAATATGATCGCTGATGAGGACTCCTCTGAGGTGTAGGTATTTTCCATGAAAACTAATTTTCTTTCTGCCAAATTGATTACCATATATCTTAGTACCTAAGTCTTCGAGGTTGGTGAATGTATTACAGATTTCACTAAGTACATAATAGAACATTTTCTACTGGGCTCGATCATCTTTCACATAAAGTAATTTTGTGAAAGATGATCGAACGTTGTGGTTCGAAGTTTATTGTAAGGGGTAGGCCTAAAAGAAAATGAAAATCCTGAATATTCCAATGACAAAGATTACTTAATCGTTATTATTGCGTATTCTTTACATCTTAATTATTGTATCGCGTTGAGCAAAAATAAATTACAATCACCAAAGGTAGGACTAATTTACCCAATAACACACAATTTAGGAGGTAGTGTAAAGGAGTTATTTGGTGGGTAGTCATTAAAATGCAGATTATGACGGGTAGACAAAGAGGCACTTTGGTAGATAAGTGACGACACTTTTTAAAAAACACGGTTTTCAAATGATATTATTATTATGTATTTACGTAGATATCAACAAAGATAACTTCTGGTGATAAAATAATTTGTGTCACTATCTTAATTTTGCGTTTGATATAGAAAGCCTAAAGATTATGCCATTTGGCTTCAACATTTCGATATAAATATATTTGACCTACATTTATCTTTACGTAGGTAGGGTAATTGCGCCGGTTTTCCGTCCAGCTCCTGTTTTCGTCCATTTGACCGACTTGCCACAAACAAATACGGAAAATTAGAATACAAACCTAACTTTCCGTGCAAGTTTGGACTTGTTACAATCTATAATATCTAAGTAACAGTTCTGCCTGCATGAAAATGTAATTTGACAAGTAATAACTCCAAAAAAATCTACGGAAGTTGCTGCTGCACACAGGTGAATGAAAAACGTCGTCAAGTTAGAAAAAAAACGAGCCGGTAGGGAACTTTCATGGTATGTTTCATTACTGTTTTAGCTACTTTACGTAATGTTTTTGGCACGTATGTCTAATTATTAGCATAATAAAAACTATTTTAAGGGTTTATTAAAGATTTTGTATAGAAATCTTAAATAATTAAGTGGACTAATACTAGTATAACAATTTTGCAAGATTTTGGTTTTCGTCCACGTGGACGGAAACCCTGACACCTAGTTAATATTTTTAATAATCATTTTACTTCAAAGGACCTACAAAATACAATGTTTTTCTTCCAATACGATCTTTATTGCTATTACATTAAACATATTAGTTTACGTCCACTTTTTAACAGTGATAAACCCATAAAAACCGTTAAAAAGATGTGGACGAAAACAAAAAACATCTTTAAACGTTGTTGTGAATTCGTCCATGACGTCATGAGCAAGCACTGGGGTGGACGAAAACCAAAATTAGCTATTCCTGTAGATTAGTTTTCGACCATTTGTCCTTCGACCTATTGAAATATTTTCCTAAATTTAGGTAAGAAACTTATTTAAATCTTTTTGATATCATTTGAAAGCTAACAAAATTACCTTTCAAATGATATACCACAATCCATAGTTACTGTATTTTAGAATTGGCTTTAAGTTAATAATTCAACTGCACCCATTTTTCTACACAGTGGTCGAAAACTAGCGTACACTAGGACGAAAACTGATTTTTTTGGACGAAAACTAGTGAAATCGCCTCTTTTGCATAAAATATTTTTAATAAAGAAACTCGTGGTATTTACTTGTTGTCATATAATATTAACGTAAAGTAGACTATATAAGGACTAAAATGACATATGATACATATGAGTAAGGGTATTTTAAGATATTCATTTCGCATCACAAAGTTGGCAACTCCGATAATTGGACGAAAACTAGCGCACTTACCCTATATTGATTCATTTATGATTCTTTTATCAGTGACACAATGACTTGTTATCACTGAACAGCTAAATCCGCAAATGGGAGCAGGAATGAATACCTAAATAACTTACTTCTTTGTCTAGTTAAATTTTTTTTTATGGTTACATTTGATTACACTTTTTTATTTATTCACTTAGGTATAATAGGATATAACATAAGATAATTAGGTAAATTATGTAAATGTTATTATCTCATTAGGGTAAAACAACAACACCCAGCAGAATCCAAACTTTCGGCAGTTCTACTAGCTTACAAAATTTTTAATGATTTAAAGAAAATTTTATTACATTTCCATTGTTTGTTCGGTTTCATTGATAAAATTAATATTTTACGAAAAGCACAAAGACTGCTATTTAAACTAGACTTTGGATGTTTTAGGTACCACTTAGGCTAGGTAAATAACTAAGCGGTGTTCGCTTTGATATAACTGAGCCACAGCAACTGACGCATTAGGTAAAATATTATTTTTATACTTAAGTTGGCATATAAGCTATTCGTAACGTCCCATGCGACGTCAATAAACATAAAAGTAGGTAAGCTGATCCAACGCCTAGAATCCTACGCTGAGTCGGCGACTCTTGTAACCCAACGCTCAGATAAGAAGTGGCCTTGACAGAGCAGTTTGTGCGTTCCACAACAACCTTTATGCGCCCACACAACTCCAAACTCAAATCTAGCACTCAACAATAAAGTCGAAATTAATTAACCACCATTTTAACCGACGTGCTGATAAAATTGTTAGTGTACCGATGTGAAACGGATGTTATAATCTGGAGCCTGCTGAACGAAATAATGAACTAGCTTGTACGAAAAGGTCAAAAGAACATTCTTAATTAGTGCAGTATGCACGATTAAACTACATAAAAATAATTAGGTACACCGCTAAAAAAAAGTAAAAATGCGTTAATAAAACAATAACAAAAAATAAACTAACAGAAATAGCGCGTTTGCAATAAGTAACTTACTGAAATTAGCTCTATTAGAAAGAAACTGAATTCTTCGATCGTAACTTGAAAATGTTCTATTAACAAATTATCGTGCTCGTAACTTAACGATATTTCCAACAAGTAATTTTCTCATGACATGATTTTAGTGAGCTACTAGTCAAATTATTGAGGAACTATCACGAAAAAATGTGAACGCATGAAATGTTCAATAGAATAGTAAAAATCATTAGATAGTTTTTCCGGGTTAACAATTATAAAGAAAGTAAAACACTTCTTACCTAGTTAATTGTTTCACTAATTTGTTTTTCAGCTGATAAATGGTTAACATTGTAAGTAACTATTCTGTTTTATTTTGTCTTGAAATTCCGAATGTTTTGACACACCTACCTATAGCTACAGTACAAATATTATAAATTTTATAAAAAAAAATAAAACCGACTCCAAAAAACCTACACTAAAAAGCAGAATAATAATTACTAATTACCTACTTATTTATTAGGACGAATTATTAATATTTATGTAGGTATACCATGATTGATACTTCTGGAGTCGGTGCCAAGATTATGAAACATGTAAAGTTTGCCTGCACCGACTCTAAAAGTATCAATCATGGTATACCTACATAAATATTAATAATTCGTCCTAATAAATAAGTAGGTAATTAGTAATTATTATTCTGCTTTTTAGTGTAGGTTTTTTGGAGTCGGTTTTATTTTTTTTTATAAAATTTAACTTATTTCTTGCTTTTTAGTTGACTAATTATTACCTTGATGTTACCACTGAAGGTAGGCAGTACATTGAGACCATATTCTTAATGTATATTATAAAAAAGTTCATCCCCAATTTTCCACCCTTGGGGGTTGTTTTTTTTATTATTAAATTTAAATGGGAACACCCTTGAGATATTACCTATACGCTGAAAAAAGATTTGTTCAAATCGGTTCATAATTGGCGGAGCTATCGCGTAACAAACATAGAAAAAAAAAAAAAAAAAACATACGGGTCGAATTGAGAACCTCCTCCTTTTTTTGAAGTCGGTTGAAAAGTGTATTTACTACTTACTTCCTGATAATTATATTTCATCTACGTTTAAATTT